CAGTTGGACAGGTGTACCTAATAAAGTGGCCGGTGAGTGTATTGCCAAACCCAATTTTTAAAAACCTGTTTTTAAAGAGCAGTTTTACAGGTAACATGTTATACTTATATAACATTATGTTATAATCACAGATAAGGATGATGATGTGAAATAGATTTGAATTAAAACTGTGTACTTTTAAATAATTATCATGCTTGTGAGGCATTCTGTGTTTCTGTTGGTCACTTGTTTGTCCTCACCTGTTCTCCTGATTGGCTGGCAGTTCCATYRACTGCAGCTGCAGTCGATGTGGACCATCAGCTCTCTGGGTACTTAAGGCTGCTCAGAAGATCACTTCCTCGCTGAAGCATCACTTGCCCTGGGTAAAACAACTCAGCTGCTCAGTGAGTTTAACTTCCCTGAGTTMTATTAACTCCTGTATTTTCTGTGCTCAGAGTTCAGGCCTCCTGAGAACCACCTGGACCATCTACTGCCTAAGATCCCAAGGATCCCTGTAAGAGAGCCTCTCACCTAGTCTTGTGTTACGCTGTCTGCCTCTGTCTTGGGTCTAACTCACCTGCCTTGGACAAACCTGTGAATGCCCACCTGAAAATCCTGGACCTCTCCCTCAGWGCCGAGCCTCCACCTGATACAGATCTGTTCCTCTACCTCAATACTCGCTTTCAATTTACCTGATTAATACTCACCAAGGACCTCTTCCCTTCCAGATTTGGATCCAAGCAAACATCACCTGTAAATAAAAACACTTACCAACTGTCTCTGAGTCTGTCTGTGCCGAGCTGCTCACCTTTGACTATTTGTTTAACCTGTTTATTTGTTATAAATATGAAGCCTTTGTCATGGAGCTGTCTGTGAAGACTGAGGGAGGGGAACGGAGCCAGTCCACTAATGTTCAGGTTTCACAAATTACTCCATGACAAACACTCACAAGACAGAAGCTTACAGCCTGTTGGAGAAAAGGGACAAAACCTGAAAACTTCTCAAATATGTAGCGAGTTGGTAGGAGAGAAACAAAAGGATGATAACTATTTATGTCCTGAACTTTTTAACCTGTTAGGGCACCAGGCCAAGTTACTAACCAATATTTATTCACCCTTTTTAATCCGACTCATTGTTACTGCTGTCGTATTAACCTCCTGAGAYCCATCAGTGGGGAACATTATAYTCAGCYCTATATTTTAAACATTACACTTGATCTGTGTTAGTCCCACTAACATAATGGGACTATCTAAGGACATCCTGGACTTTCAATTGATGTCACATTTATAGTTGTGTGGCCAACAGGACATGAGCACTTTTTTTTAAATGGCAGAAATCCCTGTATCAATATTTTATGGAAACGGTAGGTAAGTGATAAATTTTCTATCAAAAATTATTTATGTTGCTAAAAATGACATTTCCTCATTTCAACCTGGAAAGACTCACACAGAGAAAAAGAGCTGTTAAACAGTTTTAGTGATTTGGCGCTCGAGCCCCAGCAGAAGACATGGGTGCAGCTAACGGCTGTGAGCTAGCAATCAGCTTAGGTTTTAGGAAAACCATCTCCCCCCGGGGCTCGGACACTGCTGGTGGTGTGGAGGCCAGAGGGAAGAGGTAGCCAGGAAGAGCCTGAGATGAAGGTGGAGGCATTGTGGTGGTGGGTTGAAATGTCTGTAGAGCAGACTGATGGTTGGGTGCTGGTCCCTCAGACCTGGATCACTGTGAGTTGATTGGTGCAGTGAGGYGAGGATCTAACGCTGATTGGCTGCAGCTGAGAGTGTCAGGCAGTGATTGGATGGAGCAGGTGAGGTGGAGAGAGTCGTCCAGTTTSAATWTGAGCATAAGCTTCATTAGTTTGAAAGTCTTCACCACAGGTTTGTACAAGTTTTATCCAGTGTCCTGTAGGGGACAGTGGGACTTGCTAATGGTGATCTTAACCACTTTTCATGCTTTCAAGTGAGATGAATGAGGCAGAAAGGATCTTGAGAATTGTGGAAGGAGAGTCAGACTAAAGCCTGAAACACACTCGCTCCGACGCTGACCGGTCGACAGGCGGTCACCTGGTTGTTCGGCAGTCGTTTTCGCACAGACCTTTCATAGCTCCAGAGACACCCTGCACCGAGCTCCTGGGAAACCCCTCCCACTGCAGCATACGTCACTGCATGGAGTTTCTTCCCGCTACAGCTGACAATGCAGAAAAAAGTCAGACTCGTCACTCACCTGATGTTATTTATTCCCATCTGTCCTGGTTAAAGCTCCACAGTTTTTATCAGTCAGAGTCCTCCGTGCACAACGTCTGTTTAATCTCCATGAGTTTTTCAAGGTTTGACTATCTTTATAAAACTCTGCTTCCTGGTAACGGTCGGCTCTGGGAGCGAGTCATTTTCCTTTTTTAAGTTTACCGAGCAGAACTGTCCGAGCGCTTTCAGCACAAACAAACACGCCCACAAACTTCAGACCAATCACACGTTACCGTCATCGCGGGATGGGGGTAAAAAGTTCTTCTGGCAGGTTGTGCCAAAAGGGGCGGGCACGCTGATGCTGCGAACACCGGGGATGTAATTTTCGTGACGAAACTGYGACAACCCGTGCCGACGTCGGCAGTTTGGAGGGAGCGTGAAGAGGCCTTTACAGYTGTCAGGAGATGGTGAGGAGGAAGGCCAGATAGTAGAGCAGGTATGTGAAACATTCAGAACAAGACATGTCAGTTTTTGAGGAGCCTGAAGAGGAACAACGTGAAGACGCTTGCCAGTCAATGCTGATGAAAAGCAATATGTAAGTTAGAGTCATGGAAATTATTGGTAAAACTGAGTGCAAAGGAAAAATGTCAACTTTTTAAAATTAGTAAGACAAAGACACAATAATGTAAAACTTTGTATCAGCAAATATATATGTAACTACACATACTGCATTGTGTTCACTTATGCTTCTCTTTTTCCAACAACATACACTGTAAAAGCAGTTATCACTACTTAAAAAAGCTTGTAAACCGACTGCACTCAGTATTTATTCACTAGTTCAGTGTACTCAAYTTTTTTAAGTGCAATCGATTTACAAGCTTTTTTAAGTAATGGTAACTAACTAGTTTTACAGTGTATTTTAAACCTGTTGTAGATGAGAACGCCTTGCAGAAAAGCACTGGGCACAATCACCAAGACTGGAGGCCAACTGGTTACTTTAAACAATACATAGATAAGAGTATTTTTGAAAACATGGCTGAATACACGAGCCAGCAGAGTATTTTGATGTTAAGATGCGTTTCAGACATGTAATTAGTTATGTAAGCACTTCTTAATGCAGTTTCCTCAACTATTTTGTCTCTTCATGAATTTTAAAAAGTAAAAATGTGTTTTAAGTATTTATAAAATAAAAACAAATGGAATTAATCAGTTTTAAGTGTTCATTAAGTAAAGATATTTTATATTAAGCAAGACCCAAATGTCCTTTGTAAGAGACAATGGATAAAATTTAAATTATGAAAAAAATTGCAATAAGTTTCTTTCACTCTTTATACTTGAACTACGAAAAAAATCTGAATACAAAAGTGTTTTTTTCTTCTGGCTGTCAGGAGGTTATATTTTGGGTGTGTCTGTGTGGTAGGCTGATTGAGCATGTCAATGAGTGACCAGGTGCCATTCATGACTGGAAGATGGAGACCTGGAGCTGGAGGAGTACTGGCTACCTGCTGACAAGGGAACTACATAAAGATGAGCTGAGAGATGATAACGTCGAGAGCTTCCCCCTCTGCGCCATCCAACCTGCCACGTCTGACTGATGTGGTGCCAGCCTTTAGAGTTGTTTGACCCCTAATTTACACTACATGCGTTACGTCTCCGGTCCGACCTCCGCAGCAAACACACACCCATTATAACCAATGAGAGTGTTTACACTGGCTGCGGTGAGCGGACGGCGATCCGTCAAAATTAGAAAAGATCCTATTTTTGCCAGAAGCCGGAGCTGTGCCCGAGTAAATTTTTAAAGATTACGTCGCACCAACAGGAAAAGAAACGAGCACAACATCCGTATTTCCAAAATGACACTGGATAATTTGCGGGAATAATGTGGAAATTGCAGCTATATTAATAAATATACAGATATATTACTATACAAATGCTGTCAGAATGTATGGTTCTGTTTGGGAGAAAGATGGAAACATGTAGCATGAAGCATATGTGCACACACACGCTACACGTGGATTTTATTGTGAAATCAGAAGTTTCAAAAGGACGACAGCGAGACAGTTTCAACATAGATACGTAAAGCCTTTATATCGTTGTTTTCAGCTGTTTGGAGTTCGTCTTTCACAGAATTAATTATTTTTTGCTCTGACTTCCACATTTATCACTGAATTTATGGCGCGATCTCCTTCCTGCATGTCTGTCGGAGCGGAGCGAAGTCTGTATAAAGTGAGACACAAACTGTGACCTGCGCACCACAGCGGAGTGGAGACGGAACACATGTAGTGTAAATCCTGGGTTAGAGTGCACACTTTCAGATTCTGTAAACAACTCAAAACACACATCACATGGTTTTGTCATGTCACGTATCAGAATTACTTTTAAAAAATAATATGAATTCTTGGTTTAAACATTAGATATGTTTAATATGGTTCTTTATTAATAAATATGAGTTTATGAGATTTGAAAATCATTGCATTTTATTTAAATTTTACACAATGTCCCAACTTTATAGAATAGTGGTTGTGCTTGTTTTTATAAAACGTTCAGCATAATTTGAGCAAATTAACAGCATAAACACCAAAATAAATCCAGTATTTTAAAACAAATGACTGTTTTACACATGAATCTGTCACAACTGTTGTACAGTTTGGTTCTTACCCCACCATAGCTGCTGTCGGTCTGGTATTGTGCTGTGGTTGAGTGGAGGCACTGGTTGACAGAGTGGCATCACTTCCTCCCTTTTCCCAATCAAAGGGCTCGTTCTCAGTAATGATTCGCTCCTTCATGCTGTTCTCAAACACCGACATGAGCAGCTAGACAGTAATTAAATAAAGCAGATAAACTCATGCAYGTAGGTTAAATTTATGATTTTTATTGATTTTCCTTTCCTTATGTAGTGAGTACCTGGTAATCTGGTTTGGTGTAGTAATCCAGGGCCAGAACGTGGTCCAGGAAGACACTAAATTCTGAAGGCATGTGTTTGAGCAGCATCCGATGATCATAACGTTCTTTAATCTGACCAACTTGTTCCTAAAGAGGTAAAAACAAAATRAATTATCATAATTAGCAGCACAATGAACAGATGTTTCATAACAACATGAACTTTGTTCAATTAGACAAGAGAACTTCTGCAAACAAAACTAATAAAAATAATCCATTTTACGGGAACAAAAACAGAAAACAAAGAATGTAAGTGTAACATCAGGATTTCAAAGTAAAATAAAAGATTCCTTCAAAGGTCAAGAACAGGTCTCCAATCCCAGCCCAGATCCTACTGAGCCCGTGAGGCGACATGGTGGGGGGGGGGGTCTTTTGTGTTACCTCGCAATATTGTTTTGTGTTCCCACACTCAAGTTTGTTTTGTATATGAACTGAATTAAATCAGACTTTTATTTTGAAATATCCGGTTACCAAAACAGGATGTGTCACCACAAGTTTGTGAAACTGACATTGATGTTGYGTGGCTGCACTGTGTTAAAATATCTGTATATGACATACTTCCATGTGTGTCTGTGTGATATATTCATTCTGAAGCTGAATTAAAGCAGTAGACTAACTCACTAATGGTGAACATGTGAGTTTGTTAATAAACMRGYAKCACAACAGTGATTAACGACTTTTGCGAGGGAACRCAAAAGAAAAAAATCTCCCATGTCCCCTCGYGGGCTCYGTAAGGTCCCACCTGYAACTGCACGGCCCAGCTCCAGGATTTGTCACAAGACCAAGACCAGGCTCCACCATCTACCAGGGTTAGCGTACCCACAGTGACGGGCAGGTGAAGCCTCTGAGGCGGTCCTTCTTATTGTGCTGAAAACAATCTTCCAGGTCTGACCAAAGGTTTAAAAATCACCAGAGCCTATCCTTTTCACTGTTAGCATTTCTGAGAACATGGAGCTGCGACCATACAGGGCGTCAGCTCACAGCCGATACAGTAACCACTGGATCAGTGTCACAAATTGTTTGTAAATGTTTTTACAGTGAGTAAATACAACTGCTAATAACTAGAGAAAATGCATTTCCCGCAAAAATGCTAGTGTGAAGGCTAATGCTGAAGACTTAAGCTGAAAGCTAAAGTTTACTGTAAGTTCAATTTGAAATGCAAAAGAGGCATAAAAAGCTCAAATTAGCAACAAGAAGTACAAAAAAAAACAACAGAAATTATAAGAAGAACAGCTGTAAGGAGCAGAATTATAGCTGAAATGGCAAAAAAAAATTAAAATTAGCATAAAAACTACAGGTAGCAGTCAAGTTGAACCCAAATGATGAAAGTGGTGTAGAAAAATGTAAAATTTGCAGAAAAAAAGGATAGAAAAGTTGAACGTTTAGAATTCTCTCAACTGCAGAAATGTGAACATTGCATCACTAAGGAAATGCAGCAGGACACAAGAAAAAACAAAAGCTTTCACAAACTTAAACACTGATYGTACAAGAACAGTTCAAGATATCAAAAAGTTGAATCCCTCTGTAGTAGTTGAAAGTCTGCAGTTTTAGTTTGGCCTTTCTGGTCACAAGAAGTCCTGGGGGAATGTATTTATCCATAATTTCCAGTCAGAAAATGTTGGAGATTTAAAAACTTATACATACAGTAAATGTGCATTTAATTGTCTTCAATTCCCATCATCAAGAAGAATCAAGAATTGTTTATTGTCATTCATAGATGCAGTGCAGAACGAAATTTTCAGTTTTGAACATCCGTCCGGTGAAACACACACACATGACAGACACGGGGGAACGAACGTCCAGGGCCCTGCGCAGTGTGGTGCATGTAGGAAGGATGAGTTAAAAAAAGAACTTTGATCCTGTGTTTAATATACAAAAACACACGAGCATCGCACAAAAAAACAACTCTGCAGATAGAAGCAGAGGCAGCTGAGCAGGGATGTGTGTGGGGTGGCGGGGGACAAATATCATGGCACAATACATTGAGAGTTTGATTTCCATCATTTACTATTGTATAAATACATGTAACATGATGTTACTATATTTAGTATAAAGCACTGGATACGTGACTTTTCCAAGGGGCTCCTTTTAGCATCGTTGACCCTACTGCCTTGGCGGAGGTTTGCGCTCTTTGAGTGCTTCTAGTTTTTATTTTTATTTTTTGGTTTTTCAGCGATCTTTCTGCTTGTTTCACATAATCTTCTGCTAAATTAAATGCTTTTTTCCCTTTCATTTTTTTCTTCTTTAAAGGCACAGTGTGTAGGATTAGTTGTTTTCAGCGACATCTAGTGGTTGAATCATCCTCCCTGGTCC